CGGGGACAGGGTGGATGGAGCCTATTTGAGAGGAGGTGCTGGACTTGCTACAAGATGGAGGAATGGGGCAATGTGCTGTAAACAAACCACCACTAAAGGTCTCAGAGCAGGAGAGATGTGCTCCCGTCTTCCTTAAGAGAGGTTTCCAGAAACTGGAAGGTTCATTAAAGCCCCCCCCCCTGTGCCGCGTCAGTGAGAATAAAGAAAAACTGCCATTATGATGTCTCCTCTCTCTGTTCACACACTCTCCTGCCTCAGACCTTGCCCAGGTGAGGCCGTGCCCCGATAGTTCAGGCCTGGTCCATGCAGTCACAACTGAAGTACAGATTCATCTGACTAACCTTTGTTTTAGGCAAATATTTAGTCTCTAATTCAAAGAGACCCACAACTGCCAGGTTTTGGGCTGCCCAAATCAGCAGGACCACAGAGCAGAAAGCAGGGAGACTCGGTGCCCTGCTCCAGCCCAGCTCAGGTGACCTTCGGGCCACTGTTAGGAAGTCCCAAGGGCTTCTGGGGCCTGTGCCCATGGAGCAAGGGTTTCTGTGGGCTATTTAAGAATTACAGCTCCATTCATGATTTCTCTGGTTTCCATCCTCATGTTTGCGTTTGGCGAGTTGTTTTTTTTTCCTTCTTCTATACAGTCAGGCTCTGAAGGAAGGTTTTTTTCTTTTGTCTTTCATTCTGTGATCCTGGAAAATATGTCAGTGTCTGCTATGGACTACAAAAGAGAGGTGTGTGGCTTTGGGTTGGCAAGGGTCAACAGGTGTGTGAAACTGGCATACTGAACAACTGGGACCTAAGACTCTGTCTCTTTCCTCTCTCTCTCTCTCTTTCTCTCTCCCTCTCTCTCCCTCTCTGAGTTTTGTTTTGAATTCAGAGAGGTGTCACATCTACCAGGATACAGGGAGAGTTCTGTTTTCTTCCCTCCTTCCATACTCCAGGCCCACACTCCCTGAGAGTGGAAATAGGGTCTGGAAAAGGCATTTATATGAGAAAGAATGCCATCGTGATCTTACTATGTCCACTGTTACTGCCACTGCTGTCCTTAGAAACAACAGCTGCAAAGCCAGTGGGCACCAATGTAACTGAGCTGTCGTCCCACGGAGTGGCCATCTTCACACCACCTGCTTTGTATGGAAAGTTGTGGAGGCTCAGGCTGTCCTCTGTCACTCAGCAGGCAAGCAGTGACCTCACCTTCTGCCTGCATTGCCACAGAGCCTCCCAGGAAGCTCCAGATACACCTGGATTTCTTCCTAGTGCCCACATTGTACTTTTGGTGTTTCCTGCCAGTTATGTAAGTCCCGCTCTGTAGCAAGCATTCTCTAGTGAGCTGCTTTTAGCCCCATTGAACAATTCTTCCTTAGTTCGTCTCTGAACTGATAAAAGCATCCACAGACAGGGAACAACAGTGCCCTCTTGGGAACACTAAGGTCTGCGGAGACCCTGGCATGTCTCAGCACTAGGCCTCACTTGGTTACTCAGCCTTGGGCTGAAGGTGGGAGCCCCAGCCCGAGGTAGAGCATCTGGGTAGGGCGGAATATCCCAAGAATCATTTTACCCCTAAATCTCAGCATGACTGTGACTAGTTCTCCAGCTCCTTGGCAACCATGGCAATACTGGATTCCAGCCTGGGGAGGGGAAGCAGGGAAGGGTTTCCTAGCTCTTTGGGGCCCATGAGAACCAATGAAGTAGCATTCGGGGATGAGGCAGTGTGTACTGCACCACGTACACACACGTATGCCCACCCCTTAGTGCACACATGCACCTCTTTCTCAGGGCCCCTGCTATGCACACACGGCCAGTTGCTCTCTGCTCCAGACACAGGAAGGGGCTTCCTGGTTCTACAGGTTTCCCCTGGAGTGGAATGATACCCATGGTCAGGACAAAAAGGATGGCACCAGCCACAACCTACTCCTAAAAGAATGACAAAGTAACTACCTAGACATCCCCAGGACACCAGAGGGGCCTGGGTAGCAGAAGGCGGGGTGTGTATGTGTGTGTGTAAGCTTGTGAGTCTAGGTGAGGCAGAGAAGACGAGATAGCCTTATAGTAGAGAGCCTGGGAAAGCAGAAGGCTGTGTTGCTTTGCAACACAATCCTTTGTAAGATATGACTCCAGTGGTATCCAGTGGGGTACCATGCAGAGAACATGTGCACATGCAAATGTATGCAAATATGTGTGTTTTCAAAATCTCCCTCTTTCGGAGACTGAGGTATGGTTTGGAGTATTGATTTTTTTTTTTTTTGTTCCTGAGAGTGGAAATGTTAGTAATCCATTCCTTTTTTTTTTTTCCCCCGAGACAGGGTTTCTCTGTGGTTTTGGTTCCTGTCCTTGAACTAGCTCTTGTAGACCAGGCTGGTCTCGAACTCACAGAGATCCGCCTGCCTCTGCCTCCCAAGTGCTGGGATTAAAGGCGTGCGCCACCACCGCCCGGCTCCATTCCTTGTTTTTACAACAGGGACATTGGTGTGTGTGTGGGGAGTAGGTGGAGGTATTTCTGCTCTTGCTCAGGCTAGCTGAACCTCCAGTGGGCAGCACTGGGAGAGCCCTTCGCACTGGGTGGGCTGAGAATTAGATGGTAACAAAGCCTGGACGAGAAGGTCAGGTAGTGCTTAGCACAGAACCAGCTGAGGTTGAGGTAACACGGAAGCTGAAGAGAGAACGCTGGCTGAGAACCTGCCTTCCATGTGCCATAGGTATCACTTACATACGGTAAGCGCTTCATTTCTTCCTAATTCTCTTGTGGGCATGAGCGAGCCATCTTACATCTGGGGAGGTGTCTCCAAGCAGCAGAGCCAGCACTTGGGCTCCACGCCCGCTACTCTTCTGTGCCGTCTCCTGGTGGTATTCTGCCCACTTGGGGTTCTCTTGTAAGGAGTGGGCAGAGACTAGAGAAGTGGGCAGAGGAACTCGGTGGCATGTGATGGATCAGAGCCCAGGAGACGTTAAACTACATGAGCAGAGGGAGTCCTGCTCGCTACAAGGCTAGGTCCAGAGGAGAGGAGAAGGTGCTGACATTCATCTCAAAGGTGATGCCATGCCTAGGCTGGCACCTCCAGGGAAATGGTGTGCCCTAACACGCTCCTTTAACCAGGGCGGTGGTACCCACTGAAAGCTAGACACTCTACCTATGCTGTTGCTCTTGCCCAATTCCCATCCCTAAGATGAAACCCTTCCTCCTACCCCTTCTTCCAGCCTGGGAAAGGTCCAGCGAGATGGAAAGAGGAGAGAACCCCAGGATGCTATGCAGTGAGGCTTCAGACAGCCCCCTTAGCTCCACCTTCCTGGACCAGGACTCTCTGGGGGTCCGAGATGTACCCTTTGCATCTTGTTTTATCTGAGCCCCATCCTGGTGTCCTTACTCTACCGCCTCTCTAGTGAGGGCAGCCCCTCAACCAAGAATGACTGGGAGAGCTGTTTTCACGACTGTTCCTGAGTATGCTGAGCCCCGCTGGAGGCCAGAGAGGAGGGGAGTCAGCATGTCTCCTTTCTGAACTCACTTATTTCCGTTGACCCAGAGAGGATTTGTGACATGTCGGAGTCAGCCAGCTGATGAGGGCAGGGTCGGGGTCAACCTAATGGGGCTAACCCTCACTCGGACCCCCATTCCTTTCTCTACAGTGGGTGGCCTGCTTCTCAGAACTCCCTCTGAGCCAGCCCTACATGGTTGATGGTCACCTTCCATTTCTAAATCTATTTTTGATGTTTGCCACTATCTGGGATGAAGAACCTGTTATCATCAGCCCTTCCACATGCAATACTTGCCTCTTCATTTTCTAAGTTTTGTTTTTCAAGACAGGGTTTCTCTGTAGCTTTGGAGACTGTCCTGGAACTAGCTCTTGTAGACCAGACTGGCTTCGAACTCACAGAGATCTACCTGCCTCTGCCTCCAGAGTGCTGGGATTAAAGGTGTGTGCCACCATGGCCCTCTGGTTCCTCATTTATAGCCTCTGATATCTCCTTAGATCGTCATCAGGACGGTGGCTGGAGCAGGGCTGGTAGCTCCAGTTCCCGTCTTACAGATGTAGACATGGGAGACACATGACTTCAGGCTTGGCCTTATGCTAAAGGACCTGATATTTGTGTGGCAGAGGATTTGGCTGCCTAAAGCGTGTAGTCCTAGGTGTTTAGTTGAACTTGGGTATGGGGAGAAGCTGGTGAGGGAGAAGGTTGGCCTAAAGCACTTCAGTTCCATGTCGCTCATTGTGGGTTTTCCATTACAGGTTGAATATACCTCCTCCAGGAAGGAAAATGGAGGGAGAAGCTTGCAACGATATGGGAAACCCTTGTTCTCAAAACACCCCAGACCTCCAGGCACAGGCCTCAAGCCTCTTTCACGGTGCTCTCTCTTCCTAGGTGTCTAGGGATGTTTTGCTAGCGTCAATTTTGCCTCCTGAGCTTTAAGTAACGCCACTGCATTTTCTCTGTGGTAAAAGCACTACATGTATGGAGGGGAGGCCTGGTCAAAGCCCTCTGTCATTTGCAAGTGGCAGGACATTTGTGAGATGTGAATCTTAGGCACAGAAAAGCCTAGGCAAATTTTTCTCAACAGAGGGTGGCCAGGTCCTGACCAGGTCTGTTAGCCTCTCCTCTCCTAGGGATCTTTTCACTGGGCCAAGGAAGAGGTCAGGCTGCCTAGGGCCTGGTTGGCACTGTTGGGTCTTAGACTATGAAAACCAAGGCCTCCCCTGTCTCCTTTTCCCATTTCTCTGATGAAGGCAGGGACTGTGGACCCCCACCCCTTAGGTTAGAATTGATCTCTCAGACCTTTGCTTCCCTAAGGGCTGGAGCAGTCCTGGCCCCCGATTCTGATTAGAGCCTCCCGTGTGCTCTTGGGTTGGATGCCAACATCTTCTCAACCCTTAAATATTTCTCTAACAACTCAGCCCCACACTCTGATCCCAGCCGGGCCTGGAGGGCCTTCCAGAACACTGGCTTCTGGCACCTGCTTCCCAGGTCTTTGGGGGGCAGTGGGCAGCCAGAGGGGTCCAGCCACTTACCTTCGAAAGCTCTTCTCGCCGGGTGTTCTGGTGCTGGGCCGGGAGCCAGGGAGCAGCCCATCGGTCTCCTGGCTGTCCTTTTCCACCTCCTGAAGAGCTTCGTCTCCCAGGAAGTCTCCCTCGTCCCAGGAGCCCATTGTGCCATCCATGGCCTGATACCGGACCTCCATGCTTAGGCTGGTCTGAAGGGAGAGGGACAGTGAGCAGCTGGGCAGGCAACAGTAGTCCCCTGGTCCCTGTGGCACCTTTGAGGCACGTTCACTCCCGTGAAGATGAGGTGAGGACCTTCCTGCCTCAGTTTGCAGATGGGAAAAAAAGGCTGAGTAGGACTGATGCCCAAGGTTCTCTTGTGCTTGCCCCTCCTCTTCCCAGGTGCCCAAGTCAAGTGGCTGTCCTTGGTCGCTAGGCCTAAGCCTGGGTGTGAGGTCTTTGGATCCTCTATAAAGAATCATTCGGTGTACCCCCAAATAGGTCACCTCTTCATCCTCAGAACCAGGCTGTGTACTGGCCTGAGGGGTTCTCCTTGACAAAGTAACAAAACTAACTGAGCGTGTCTTCTCAGAGAAGACCCAGTCCTGGGTTTCCCTCAGCCTAGTGCGGTCAGCACTTCTCCCAATTCTTGACTCCTTATCTGCTAGCTAGAGAAAGGGGTCAGGGGAGTTGCCTTGGGCTTTTCTTCTGGAGAAAGTGGAGTGCCACATCTGGGTCCAGATGTTAAACAGAACCCGGGTGGAGGGACCATGTCTAGAAGGGACAGCCCTAGTTCGTGTGGAGCAAAACTGAGGCAGGAAGATACAGGCTCTTTATACGTTAGCTAACATTCTAAGCACTTTCTTTGTATGCCCTTTGACCCCTTAGAACTAGCCGGTGAGGCCACTACACTTTTGTACACGTTGCAGATGGCATGTAGGCCTCACCAAGAATCATCCCCAAGGGTCACATTCCTTACCACCACACCAGTGGCCTGTGAGTAGCCTCCGAGGAGCTGGAGAGCAGCTAGGAGACAGAGAGGAGCCTGAGGACTAGGCATCAAGGGGGCTCCCATCTCCTTTCATTGGGACGAACACTGAAGGGTGGATTGGATCTGACTAGTTCATGCATGCCCATGCCGACTTGAGCAGAAACGGACAAACGGAGCAGAAAATGAGATTCTGACCCTTGTTGGACCTCTGGTCAGAAGGGAGCCTCATCATATGTGCAAGTGGAGGCTGCTGCCATGGAAGGACTTGCAAGGCTCAATCGGCCATTGCATGATAAAAGGCACCTCAGATTCATTGCTGAGCTGGATCCGAACGGGAAAACCACATCAGTGGAGAGGAGATGGTGTCCTCATTACCTCACCTAACGTTATCATGGTGGGAAAGGCTGAGTTTCCACTTGGGACAGACCCAGTCATACTGCAGAACCTCCAGCACCAGCATTCGGACCAAACGGCTCTGGCAGAATCTCCCTGACGTCCTCCTGCTACCTCCCTTGTCAATCATGGAGCAGTCGCTAGACCAGTGGTTTTCAGCCTGTGAGTAGTGACCCCTTTGGGGGAGTGTCGAATGACCCTTCCATAGGGTTTGCCCAAGAACATAAGACAACACAGGTATTTTGTTATGATTCATAACAGTAGCAACAAAATTTCATAGTTGGGGGTCAC